CGGAGCAGGATGGAGAGAAGGGAAGGAGAAGAGAAAGGACAGTACGAAGTCGCGGCTCTTGTGCGTCTGGCTTTGTGGTCATTCCGTCTCCCTGTTCATTTCTGAGTCCAAACCGAAGCAAAGATAGTCGTAAAAATAACCAAGAGATGACTTTTTGTATTACCCACCAGACACTCGCACTTCGTGGGGCAGCAAACAGTCAAAATCCAGCTCCAGCTGAAATAAAAGATACATGCCCCACAAAAGCACTGCAAAAGCAAAGACAGGCGCACGTCAGTGGTATAAAATGTTCGGTATGTTCGGCTTTGAAATGGTCAAAGTGGTGACATTTCCTTAAAAAAATAGTAGTCTCTTTATCTCTACGTTCTTGCTCTCAGGGAAGACGGAACGAGACTTTTTTTTCGCATTTTGATGGGTGCGGTATTTCGGGTTTTGTAATTATCTACAGTCGGTGGCACACGAAGAAGGTACGGCACATTTGTATAGCATCTGAACATTTTTCCCTTTCCTTCAGCTTCCACGCACAAACTCAGAGCATCGCTAACTGAGAAGCCGCACGTCGCATGGGTTTCTTCTCGTGTGCGAACGACACGGAAGCTTTTTATTTCATTCCTCTCTATTCTCTTCTCCTATCTTCTCTTATGTTGCAGCGCAACATTAGGGTCGACCTTGTCCTACAACCCTATCCCCACCTCAAGAAACACTCAGCGCTTTGTCTCTTATCGTATACTCTTTTCTGCCCCATCCTTTACGCTCAATTCCTCTATCACTTGCACGCACTCACACAAAATTGTGCCTTTTTTTTGTTCTTTCTTTTCTTTTTATACCCGGTACTCGAAGAGGAAATAGGGTATATGTACATCTGTACATACAAAGATACATATGTATATAATGACTGAGCGTACGAAGCGCCTCACAACGTTCCTCCTCGCATTTATATTTTTTTATGTTTTCTTTACGTTTCAGCTTCAGCCAGATTTACGTTTTCCTGCTTGCGTTTGCAACATCTTTTCGGAAGTTTTTGTGCAGCATCACAGACATACTGGTGAGAGGTAAGGAGTGCTAGGGGAAAGTTTTCCAAAAAGAAAGAAATAAAACAGGAAATATGAAATGGGAGGGGCTCGTGGCAACTAAAAACGAGAAGGGACCAGTGAGACGCTTCTTACGCGTCACAACTTTTATACCCGGCACTCAGTACTACATCTTTACCTTAGCGGTTTTTTGTAAAATTTTACATTTTTCTTCATCTGTCATCTACATCTACAACACTTCTCACGCTCCTTTAGCTCACCCCCCTTTCCTAGAGCCACACACTGAGTCCCGGCCGAGGCAGAGGCAAAGGCAGAGGAACGCGAGAGGCAGAGGCCGAGAGAATGTGAAAAAAACAAATATAAGCTATTTCTTCATTGTGGCTATAATAATGATCCAATCGGATCCCAACTTGTTGATCTGATAGATATGGTCATTCCCCACCGAATGGCGTTTTTAGATCTTTTATCTTCAAAATTGTAGATTTGGGAGCTTTTCGCCCTTTTGCGGGGGCGGAAGGGAGCGGGGCTCATTTTTGAAATACACTGCTTTCAGTGTGAGCATACAGCAGTCTGGAGCCAACGTGTAGTGGCTCCAGCTCCTATAGTCTCTTAGAATTAGCCGACAAGCAAGACGGACAGACGGACGGACGGACGGACGGACAGACAGACAGACATGGCTCAATCGACTCGGCTATTGATGCTGATTAAGAATATATATACTTTATGGGGTCGGAAACGTTGCCTTCTGTGCTTTGCATACAACCGTTATTCCCACAAATCCAATATACCCTATTTACTCCTCGATTACCGGGTATAAAAACAGAAGAAGAAGTGTCAAGAGTCAAGAGAGGCAGGGATCAGGGTAGTAAATGGCATGAAGAAGTGGTTAGGGGCAAGTAAAAGGCTCAAATGGAGAATGAGCTTTTGAACGAAGCCAAAGCCAGGGTGCTGAAACTGAGGTGTGAGGCAGAAAGTGAAATAAACGGAGAAAACGAGGTAACATAATTGGATAGCGAGAGAGAAAATAATGGAAATGGAATAGTGTGGAATGGTGACAGAATGAACATCCACGGCCCGACATATCGGCGTCGATCTGCCTTTTCTGCTGCGCTGCATCTGCCCCAAAGAGGCTCCTTCCTCCTGCCCCCTGGCCAACCACTTCGTCACTTCTTACATGTATCATTTTATACCCGGTACTAGATGAGTAAATAGGGTATATTGTATTTGTGCACAAAGTGAATGTATGTAACACACAAAAGGAAACCCCATAAAGAGCCATGTCTGCCTGTCCGTCCGTCTTGTTGAGCGCCTGGATCTCAGAGACCATAAAAGCTAGAGCCACCAGATTTTGCATCCAGACTGCTGTTACTCACACTGTTACAAGTGTATTTCAAAACTGAACACGCCCCCTTCCGCCTCCGCAAAAGGGCGAAAACCTCCCAAATCTACAATTTTGAAGATAAAAGAAAACAGAAAACGCCATTCCGTAGGGAATGGCCATATCTATCAGATCACCATACCTATCAATCACCAATCCGATTGGATCATTATTACAGCCAGAATGAAGAAATTAATTTGCAGTGGCTAAACCTACCCTGTCACGCAGCTTTCTGCGTTTTTTCACATTCTCTCATTCACACTCTGCTTCTGCTTCACTCGGTCCCTGCCTCTGCCGCCCCTCTGCCTCTGCCTCTGCCGACTTATATTTAATATAGCTTATATTTGTTTTTTTTGTGTGCGGGCGCTGCCTCTGCCTCTGCCGAGAGTATGCAGAGTGTGGGTCTAGGGAAAGGCGGCGAGCTAAAGGAGCGTGTTGGTCTAAGAAGTGTTGTAGATGTAGATGACAGATGAAGAAAACATTTAAAATTTGAAAAAACACCGCTAAGGTGCAGATGTAGTACTGAGTGTCGGGTATAAAAGTTGTGACGCGTAAGAAGCGTCTCACACGTCCCTTCTCGTTTCATATATGTCCGTCGTACTTTGGGTTTTTAATGCGATATTTCGCGTAGCAGAACAATAACCTCCTGGCTTCCACTGCTCACTTTTTGAGGATCCGGGACAGTGTTCGGGGTTCTGGGTTCTCGGTCTTAAATCCTGGCTCCTACATCCAGTACTTCACCTTCTTATGCTTTTATTACAGCCCCGCCAATAGTAAGGGAAGGAATGGACCAGGGACACTGTCACTATCTCTTGCCACACACTCCTTCCTCAACCCTTAATCCTGCAATCATCCCTCATTCGCCATCCCTTTGGTTCCTTGTGCACCCTCGCTGGCTGAACAGTTTGTCTTGCCAAAAGAAATATACTTTTAATATACTTGGCCATTCACATCACACAAAACATGAAGGAGGGGCCGGGCCAATGGACGGGACCAGGCCCAGTACCCAGGACAGTGCACTAATTGAAAAGAGTTCTAGTCCTGGAAGGAGACGAAGAATAGAAAAGAGACTGTAAAGTGTCTGTGGAGTGTGAAACTAGGCGATTTTTCCAGTTCATTGACTTGCCACAACAATGGTTTAAAATTTGTCTGCCAAAATATGAGTTAGGCCCCGTCGTAGAGGAGAAACGGCGGAAAGAAGAAAGAGCATGAAACCGTCGAAAGTTGTTTACTCATAGTTTAACCAATTTGATACATGCAAAGGCATTGATGGATGTTTAATGGCCCTAAAGAAGGAAAACACGAACCCGTAGAGAAAATGGAGGGCAGACACTAAAAGAAATGTATGTATGGTATAATTATTTAGGATTACTTTTCATTATCAGAATCGATTATTTTGGAACAAGAAGATGCATTAATAGCACTTTTCGAAACGGTTTTGCCGCTTCGATCCAGACAGACTACATTTTTCTGAAAAATATGGGGATTAGAAATGGTTTGATGATAAATTGTTCTCCATTGCACAACTTATTTAAAAAAATTTTGTTTTTATTTGGTAATGTTTTTTAACGCCTTTTTTGAGAAGTAGTGCTCTTTTTCACATAACTCAAGGATCTTACATCTGGTTGTAATTAACGTTGCTATTTTTTAAAGCTGATGAATGCATCTATAAGCATCTTTTATATACATACATTTTTTCTATATATGTTGGGCGGGGTGGGTTTAGCCACTGCAAATTAGTTTCTTCATTCTGTCTATAATAATGATCCAATCTGATCCCAATTGGGTGATCTGATGGATATGTTCATTCCCTACGGAATGGCGTTTTCAGTTTTCTTTAATTTTCAAAATTGTGAATGTGACAGATTTTCGCCGGTTGCGGGGGCGGGCGAAATTTTGAAATACACTTGAAACAGTGTGAGCATACAGAAGTCTTGGTTGCTCTATCTTTATAGTCTTTAAGTACTAGGCGCTCATAAGGACGGCTAGACGAACGGACAGACAGACATGACTAGATCGACTCGGCTATTGATACTAATCAAGAATATATATACTTTTTGGGGTCGGAAATGCTTCCTTCTGTGTGTTACATTTTTCCCCCACAAATACAAAATACCCTATTTATTCATAGAATACCGGGTATAATTCTATCTCTCCATAGATTTTGATGAGCAATTATGCTCAAATAATGCACCTATACATACAAAAATAATAGACACAGGATTTAAATTTGTTGTACTTTTCGTGAGTTGTTAAAGTCAAAATTTCTTAAAAAATACCGCACAAAAATAAAAATTTTGCATTTCAAAGTTAAATCTTTTTTTAAAGAATGCCCAAGCTTATTACAACCAGATGTAAGATACTAAAGTTTTGTGAAAAAATGTTACGAACAAAAAACCGTATATTACAAATTCTTTAAGAAAAAGTTCTGCCATAGAAAAAAACCATACTTCTCTAAAAATATGTGTCTACCCAAAAAACTCGGTTTGGTTCGAAGCGGAAAAAAAGTTTGATTTTGTCGAGTAGTGTAATATCAGGATTATGTAGGCCTTGACCCTATGTTCTGTCAGAATAAAGCTGTTCAGATATGTTCCGCAAAGTCTCAGTCGGCACACACAAAAGCTACAAAACTCATCAAAATTTCAGTTGAAAAAATTGGTTAGTCCCAAAAAAAAAACAATCTAGAATCAAGCTCCTTCCAACAAGGGCCGTAAAATGTGTTAAGTCCGTAAAGTATACATATGTATATATAAGTCCGTGTCGTACAATCCTTAACGATGTTTGGCAAAAGGAGGAGGGAGCGCGACCAGGAGCGGAACAACAATATGTACCACCGACTATGTCAGACGCTGGCCGCAGAACATCAGAAACTTAGGGACTTAGAGCTGCGTCGGGAGAAACTGATGGAGGAGATGCGCATCCTACGCGCCCGCTTCATGCAGGAGAACGCCCTTCTCCGGCGCTCCGTGCAGGGTAGTCCGAACTTGCAGGCCGTGCTTCACCCCCCGGTGGGACCATCTACCTCCTCCGCCGCCTGCACTGGCGCCAGTGCGCGGTCGTTACCGCGCGCCGCCCTGCCAGGGCATGGAGCGCGTTGCGGTATCTCGGCCCCTAACCGCATCCCCGTTCGTTCAGTGTACTTCGCCAACGTGAGTTCCACCATCAGCAGCCCGAAATCCATTGTCACCAAACAGGTGGCTCCTAGGCAGAGTCCGAAGAAAGAGGAGCAGAAGGTGGAACAGAGGCAGGATACCCCCGGCCGCAAGAGCGTGCGATTCCCAAAGCGGGTGCCAACCCCGAGTTTGGGTCCGAGTTTAAATACAAAAACCCGGAAGCAGTCGCAACGAGTGTATTGCAACAGGCGGGGACAAAGATCCCAAAAACTATCATAAAGCGAATAACAGGCAATATCTCCAGAAGATTGGCAGAAGATAGGGGCACAGCTGAAAAATGACCACGATGGGCTGCTGGAGCTTGATCAGCAGCCACACAGTTACTACGATCTTGATGGAGTCCGGGATGTTGCACGGTTTCATCAGTTGTCCTGAGTGGCATGTGCTCAAAAGAGCAGCGACCTCTCCTGGTACACGTTTTCTCCAGCGGATCGTAGAGTGCAATAATCGTGCATCCACTTCCAAGCTAGTGCGACAAAAATGGCAGCAGCGAGATTCCCAGTCGGACAACAAGAATTTATAATAGGCACGTATTGCTCTGCACAACATCTGAGGTTCCTCATCAACATTTTTTCGGCCCAAACATATAAACAAAGAAAAAACCAAACTCAAACTATTTTTAATCACTAAAGAGAAGTGATAAATATCAATGAAACTAATTTGTATCTATAAGCTGGTTATGGTTATTGTTTTTCACCCCATACATTTTACAACATTCGAGAGTCTTTCCATTCAGTGGATACTCACTCTCCATCTGATGATCCGAATTTAGATGCTTTAGTGTTTATTTTTATTGCATTTGTTGACCTCTGCTCCCCGTGTCGTCACAGCAGGACAGAATAGGATGCTGTTGACTCCTGACATCCATTTCATAACAAATTAGTTTCCAACTGTCCGAAACAAATACTCTCTATCGAGCAAAATCGAGTTGTGTGTCTCATGAATGGTATTTTCCGTTTGATATGTGATATTGTATATCTTCTTCATCATGCCCCTTGGCTATCTGCTTGTGTTGTTTGTGCAATAAAAGACGTGACGAAATGTTTTGAAGCCCATCATTTCAAGCATGATGCGAGTCACGGCTCGGGGCAAGGGACTTATAAAATCTACTGTTGCCTTCTGCTGCAGAAAGATACTTCAGAGAGATAGATAGATCGCGAAAATATTCTCATGGCAGAGAACTCGTTTTGTCCACTTTCTTTCGACTAGGTCAAGAGGTTGTCCAAATATTTGCTGCAAGTGGAATGCATCTTTCGTTCGTTCGGGGCAGTAATGCGTTTGAGCGAAATCCAAACCAAAACCAAGCCCCAGGCCCCACGCCATAAGCCCTTTTTGTCAACACCCAACTGAACAAGTTTTTGATCTGCCGAAACCTACCCGACAAAATCGACCTTCTTTTTCCGCTTCGAACCAAACTGACTTTTTCTGATAGACTGAAAGCTTACAATTTTTTAAAATAATTTTAATTTTTTTTTTTGTATGTTAGTACTTTTTTTTAAGAATTTTAAGTCTGTTATTTTTTTGATATGGTTTTTAAGAGTTAGCGCTTCTTTTTCCACATAACTTATATATCTTACACCTGTTTGTAGTGAACTTAGCTCGGCGCCCACCGACCTACAGTCCGAGTGAAGCTACTCTCTGAAGCTACTTGAATTATTAAATTCACATCTCCACTGCCACATCCCGCTCTGCATGTTTGTGCAGAGAAAAGTTTCGGTCGAGCATTCGGTGACCTCATCAAATATTGGTTGAACGGTTCTGCCTCGTACTCTTGTATTAAAGTGCCCATAAGATATACATATGTACACATACACACGAGCGTATGTGGTATAGCCAAATTCTTCCCTAACTTACCTAAAAATTGGAGTAGAAAAGAGAAAAATATTATTGCAACTTGAAGGGGAATGTTTTGTGTGGGAGGGCTTAAAAATCGTTTTTAAATGCTGAAATAAACTAAGATCATTTTACGATTTGAGATCTACAGTAGAAGGTGACACAAAGTCTCATTTGAAATTACATAAGCAACCATTTAAGTTGATTCAAGTCGTCGTTTTTTTTTCCCCTTCTTTCTCAATTTTGCATTTAAGTAAAGTGATTTGCCAGTTTGTCTCAGTGTCTTTTATGTGCGCTGTGCATCCCACACAAATTACTTGGAATTATCATTTAATATAAAAGGATAACAACTCTCGGAGCGGAACACACGAAACTCTAACCCAGTTCTCTCTATTATCTTCTCTTCTCCGCAGAGCTCAATAATCGCATCGGCAACCAAAAACTATGAAAATAAACGGGCCACTGATGTTACTCCATCTAAGTGGCACACACATGGTTGCTCTGGCATAGTGGCATGACGATGTTGGGGATACAAGGATACAATGTATCAAGTGCAGCATCATCATAGATGTATCCCCCACACGCCCGCACCACATACAGCAGTTCTGGCTTGGATCGTTGTTCATAAAACTCACTCAAGTAAAATAAGGAATGGTTTTCGATATGAGATGCATGAAACTGACAGGCGAATATATTGTTGGCTTATTTTCTACCATCCCCCAGGAACCGTATAAGCCCTAATACCCTCCCCAAGAGCCACACACTGCATGAAAAAATGCATAGAAAAAATGACAACAACAAGCAAGCGGAGGGCAAGCTGCTGGAAGGGGTTGGGGAAGACACTGCAAATGAATTTCTTCAGTCTGGCTATAATAATGATCTGAGCCAATCCTAATTCGGAGATCTGGTAGATATAACCATTATTTACGGAATCATTTTTTTAGCTTTCTCTTATTTTCAAAATTGTGAATATGAGAGATTTTCGCCATTTGTGGGGGCAGGGCGAAATTTGGAAACACATGATTCAGTGTTATATGACATTAGTCTTTTCACAACATTTTGTGACTCTAACTCTTACAGTCTCTGAGAAACAGGCGTCAAACAAGACGAACAGAAAGACAGTCATGACATCTAACAGTCATAAATCGACTCGGCTATTGATGCTGATCAAGAAGATACATATACATATATACTTTATAGGGTCGGTTCCTTCTGTGCGTTACATTCATCCACTTTCGCCCACGAATACAATGTACACTATTTACTCTTCAAGTCCCGGGTATAAAAATCTTAACCAAAAGTAAGAGTTTCCAAGTAATTCTCTCTTATAGATAGTCAAAAATATTGTTACGGGACGGGGATTCGAATCTGAAATTGCATGCTATAACATAATCCATGGTCCCATGAATCCATTCATTGTCCGCTCGTATTAATGAATGAATGAATGGATGAATGTTTAATTACCTGCTGGAATGGTTCGGTTCATGGGCAAAGGGCTCCGCGTAGATGTTGCGAACGGGAGGCACGCGTCGTGGCAGTGGCGGCGGCACCGGATTATAGCCATCCATAATGGTATCACAATCGGAGTACTTAATCGATTTCATAGTCATTTTCACGTTTCTCTCTTTCGGGTATCGGTTCCTTCTGTCACTGTTTCACTGTATTTCAGGAGGGGGTTGCGGGGGATTATAGTAAATGGTTCGTATTGCGTAATATGCGGTTCGTGTAGCAAGTGTTCACTTCACTGACGATTTATCTTAAATATTTTATTTGTTTGTTGTTTGCTCTCGCTCTTCGCGTTAATTATGTTTCAATGTTGCAATGACTATTGCATGTATTATTACTATTAAATACTATTATTGGCCACGTTTGCATTTGAATTATGAATCATCCGAAAGGGCTTTCCCTCTCTCCGCTCCTTCAATAACACGCGCGTGTCATCGACGCGACATGCGGTATGGCCCGTGGGGGCCTCGGTCGCATTTCAGCCTCGTAGCTGCCACCTGGAGCTGAAAGTATCTCTTCTCCTAATCTTTTTAATGAACGATCCTCCTCTGGAGACGATTTGCCAATGCGTTCCTCCGAATTTACTTTTTCCTTTTTTCCTTTTTCTTTCCAATTCGGATTCCTTTTTTGTGTATTGTAGATTTTTTATATAATTTTCATTGGGACCTAAATGGATTCAAATAAATACATGTTTTGCCAAAGATTAGCTTGAGGCTTTAGTCAAGCGGTTGCAATACCTTTTGTGACCTTTCGTTACGCTGTACATTGCCACTTTTTACGTACATATTATTTTAAAATGTAAATGTCCCTTTTATACTTTAATTACATTACATGGAAGTAGTGAATGAACGTGATTAAAGCTACTTTGTTACATTAAAGCATTGTAACATAATATTATAGGTTTGAATTTTAATCAATATCTTTACAAAATTACATATTTTCACGAGTTTTCATCATTTTTTTTGTTTGTTTATAATATAATGTTTTATAATTCAGACGCTATTTTTCACCATAAGTTCTTGCCCCGTAAAATATTTGGCACATCTCATATTCCCACTTCGATTGACCAAATGAGAAGGGGAAAAAAATCTTTCTTGGCTCTCATTCAAGAATGTTCAAACTGGTTTCGACCATCAACTGATGCTGAGAAGGAGAGGGGACCAAGTCCAAGTCGGAATCAGAGCCAGAGCAAGAGCCCGAATCAGGGTCAAAGCTAGGGTGGAAGCGAGAGCAGGAGCTGCAGCTATAGCCAGGAAAAAAGCCGAATGTGGCTGGACAAACAATCAGAATAAGTGTATCTTGTATCTCGATGCACACCCAACTAACATACGTATATACATATAACATACATATAAAATATTTGCTACAACAACAGACACTGACAATGCCACAGGCACAGTCACTTCCTCCGCCACAGTCCGGTTGGTCGCTCTCCTTGCTTTCATCCGATTGAACAGACGGACTACTCTCAGGCTGGCTGATGTATCGCTCTAATCACAAAATCCCACCCATGATGTGCGCCCCAGTACGACGTGGACGCAGCACGGACCAAATATTCAAAGTCATTGTGTACTATTGAATAGAGTTGGATGGAACCAAATCGAAACAATTTCGAATGTAATCCGTTATTGTTAGAAAGGGGAGGAGGAAGCAAAGCAAAAAATATCGAAGTCTATCTCGTAAAATGGAGAATGAGGCATAGTAGCTCCTCTTGGGTTAATGTGTCATATCTGCATGATTTTCATCTCAAACACGAAACACGAACACGAAAACGACACGTCACATAAGCCGCATAGTGTAAATATGCCCCAAGTCGTCAAAACTTTTATAAGCGGTACCTGTATATAATATGTACATATGTATGTACCTACATATTCAATATAAGGTGTATTCACCTTAAGACTTTTTCGAATTTTACATTGTACATATGCATATGTACATACATAACTTTTCACACCAACACGCCCTGCATGAGGCAGAGTGAGAGAATGAGCAAAACATAAACAAAGCTGCCGGAAGGGGTGGGGGCTAGCCACTGCAAATGAATTTCGTCATTCTAAGCGGAAAAAAATGAGATTTTGTTTAGTAGTGTAATAATTAACACAGAGCAGAATGACTGCCACATTCCGCAGATATACTTTATATAGATTATTTTGTATCTAAAAAGCACAGCAGCCGGTCGAACAACCGAACAGCTAATGAAATATTACACGAACATAATTTCACGTTCACCACATCAACCCCGAAAGAAAACTTTGTTGGAACAAGAATGGGGATATCCAACAAAAAATATATTAAAACAAAATTAATAACAAATTATGACAAGTGATGAAATTTTTAAGAGTCCCAACAAAAAATGAGGTGACGCCGCCAAGAAGGTGGAATGTCATCGCTTAGTTGGAATCCATGCATTTTGAAGATATTTTACAAGAGCAGAAGCATTCCTTTACAATATCGAGTGTATATTACGAGGTTCTATGTGTGCATAACTTTATATTATCTTAACTGATCGCTTACTCATTCGTTTCTCTATCTTTCCCAAAATGTATCTTATAAATCCGAATTCTACTAATAAGTGAATTCCGAAGCCACAGCAAAAAGGCAAAAAAGCGGCTCAAACAGCTCAAGATTAAGTAGCCAGAGGCACGACATGGCCCTGCCAATGCCCCCTACTGTTGCCAACTATTTAAATACTCTCCCTCAATCCCTCTTATCAGCACTCTTTTCTCATGTAATGCTAACGAAGTTTGGGTTTGGATCGCAGCGCATTTATCTCTAGTCTGGCTACCAGTTTCGCTGAACCCCACTTCACTCTATCCCTTTCCACGGCCTACGCAAAAAATGCAGCGTGAAAATAAGGCAGGAACAGAACCAGCTCTGTGTACAAACACCCTTACCCTCTACCCCTGTCCCTATGCTCTCTCCCAATAGAGAGGGAAGAGACTCCCTTGCCAGCTTCAAAGCCTACAACTCCTAATTGTAATCTTCCATAAAGTCATTTTTCCCAGTCTCTCTTCTGCTCCATTCTATACCTTCTGTTCCGGTCTCCGGCTACCAAACGAGTTCGCAGCCAAATGCATCAAGTCTATAATACATGGCTTAAATGAGGAATTGGTAGGAGAAACTGAAACTGGAGACTAGACTAGGTCTGGCGACTATTATAATTCATTACCAGATACGTACTCATTCAATTGTGATGAAAACATATGTACATACATACATATGTATGTACAGCAATACTGTTATATACTGTTTCAAGTATATTTTTAAAAATGTCGGAACGCTCTCTTCCGCCACCACAAAGGGTGCGAAAATTGCTTACATCCACAATTTTGAAGATAAGATAAAAACACAGTTCCGTAGAGACTGGCGGGAGGCGAGCTAAAAAGGCGTGTAGGTGTGAGAAGTGATGTAGATGACAAATGTAGAGAACATTTAAAATGATACATTTTAAATTCGAAAAAAAACATTTGTTTACATTTGTAAAATGTATGCACATCACACTAAGATCACAACTTTTATATCCGGTACTAAGTCAGTATATTTGTATGTACCATATGTACATACATATGTACATATGTACCGGGTACAAAAGTTTCGACACGTACGAAGCGTCTGACAACGTTCATCCTCGTTGGAACTGGATCTCTGGAATTTAACTCTTCTGGAGACTGGAACTTCGGCTGCAACTGATATTGAAAATCGGGAGTAAAGAATGGGATGCCAGGGGTAATGGGACATTGCACTATGGGTAAAAAGCACGAATTTTTGGCAATAATATACTTTTTTTGGGTTAAATATTTGAATGCGATTTAAATCTTCTGATTCCTGAATATCAAGATAGAATAAAACTGGTTTTAGAAGATTTTTACGGAGTACCATACTTTTTTGAGCGCTTTCAAAGTCGGCTGATTTTGAGATGATTTTACTTGTGAAAAAGTGCGGGAAACATTGAGCAACTTGGGCTTTAATTGTAACTACATTTTAAAGTTTAAATAAAAGTTAAAATATGTAAATAATAGGGAGAGATATTTCAATATATTACTAATCCATGTTTTTTGATAATTGTGTAGATTTTAAAATGGCCAATGTGTTTTTCGTGTTTGTTTTTGGCTTGGTACTAACAATTGCCAGTGTGTTCTGTGGAATATTACTTTTGCACAGCACACCACTGCCCAAGGGTTCAAGTTACATGTTATTAACCAATTATTATAGAATTGTGGTGTTAATGCCCTTTTTGCCCCTTTTCGGAAAATTTTATATTTTGCAGATGCTTATGAGTTCACTTATGCAACGCTGCTGGAGGTCTGGACCAACAACAATCGTGAAGCAGACGCAAAAAAATGTTTTAATTTACAGAGTATTGACAAAAATTGACTAACTAAAGATGAAACCATTACAATTCAAACGAAAAGTATCAAATTTATTGCTTAGTTATACAAGTACCAAGCGAAATGCAATTGTACGTTGGAGCGATTCCAATCGAGTTACTTTTAACCAAACAATCATTCAATCAAATATAATTTTTTAAAGTTCTAAAATGTTTTAAAGGATCTTTTATCATAATTAATCTTTGGAATACCTTTTTTATAATAAATACGACGTAAATGGGTTCCAGTTCGTATGGGCGTGGGTAGGCGGGGTCCAAATGACTACATTTTTAAACATCCGAAATTCTACTTTAGTCTAACTAACATTCATGCTAATTTATAGAGCTCTAGCTCTATTCTTTGGAGTAATGCCAAAAAAACTGACTTTTTACCCATAGTGCATTGGGCAAAACTGGTTTCTATAAAAGGAACAACAAAAAATAAACAGACACGAGCAGCAGCTCAAACGGAGACTGGCTGCAGAGTGGAATTAAGCTGGAGCTTGCTGGCATGCAGCATTGTGCAGAAACTGGTTTCCCCGCCACTTTCCGATTTCGATTCCTCATCCGTAATCCCCTTGAAAATGTAAACGGCAATATTTAATTAAAATTTGATTTTATTTCCTTACGAAAATTTAACATAAAGCAATTAAATGGAGTCTAACCCGAATTTACGGACAGATTTAGTCTTCATCTCCCCCTTCATGCCACCTTCCTTAAACATTTGTGTCAAAAATGTTGATTATTTATAAATAGTAGAGTATCGGAGTCCGAGGGACAAACGATTGCTGTGTGGTGTATCAGCAGCGGGGTGACAGAGTGAGAAAAGTTTTCGGGCACAACATTTTCCACAAATGTCTGAAATAATCATGATGGCCAACAAGTCATTTCATTTGACAACATGAGGAGGTGCAACCCTCCTCCTGCTCCTCTCCTTCTATGGGAAAGCGACATGCAGACAGACAACAAGCAAAAGGGTGACCAAACAACATATTTATGTGTTTCTGTTGAAGGAGTGGAGTGAAGTGGTGTGCAGTGGCGTGGTGTCGTTTCCCAAAAATGTTCCCAGTTTTTACAAGTGAGAGAGAGAAAGAAAAAGAGGGGGAGTCGTAGCTCCATATAAAATATGTTTTACCAATTAGCTTTTTTTTCCAAATCCACGTTTGTTAAGAGAACTGTGAAGAGATCAGATGATTTCCGAGTCGAGGGACCATATAATTAACACAGCAGATGCTAAGAATGCG